TAATTTTAATTTTTCTTTTTAATTTTTAGCAAGCATGGGAATAAATTCTTGCTTACACTTTGGGAAAGAGAACACCCTAAATGTGGCTTAATCAACATTGTAAACCATTTTCTTTCCCACTGACTCTCGGATATGTGCATTATTGGAAACATGTGTGCTTTAGTGGCATATATTTTTGAGTCTAATTAGCTGCCTGCCTGTAATCAGGACTGTATCAACTGTTGTCATTCTAAATGTTTCCTTTCTTTTTTTCAAACACATTTGCCTGATTGACCTTTTTTTTTTTCTCTGTCTTTCTATGGGGCTGCTCCAGGAGCCATGGCTAATCATCTTATAAGCAATGCTCTGCTTCGTCCGCATGGTACTAACAATCCCTATAATACATTGCTTGGGGAACCGGCGGTCTGTAACAACCCTTCTGTCAGCATGTACAACGCACAAGGTGTGCTGGAGTTTATCTTAATTTTTTCAAGTGAGAGTCCCATTTTATGTAGCTTTTATGGCCACATTCTATTTTTCTTTCCTTCCACCTGCCTTTCTTTCTTTTGGAAGCAGACACACAGACTCCTTTCGTCTTCCACCCCTCTTGGTGCTTTTATTTTCCATTTTCCTTAGGTTTTCCTTAGTAACAGCTGGATCCCTTCCTTCTGATAAACAAATGCTTGATTCATCAATCTGTGTTTGTAACGTTATAAAATGTATTGTGATGTGTCAGTGCTTTTCTTGTTGTTGATTAATTTCTATATTAAATACCTATGTATTTATTTTGAGAAATGAGACATTTGCTTAAGGTAAGTAAGATAAAGGAGGACTTGATTCAAGAGTCTCAGTGTTATAAGACCAAGAAAATGAGCTTACGTTATTAAGCCATGACGCACACTCTAGGCGTGAGGCATCAGTATTGGTGAAAGCACTTAGGCCAACTCCATGGAAAATTACATGGAACTAAGCCATGGAGAAAGGAGCCATTCAGTTTGCTACTGAACTGAACAATAGCAAGTCAGGTTCCACACTAGCTTGCCATTACCAAGGTGAGCTGGCTTAGGAAGGTCATGATTTTTTTTCCCCCCCTACTGTGGCTATGTGTGAAAAACAAGGCTTTGGGATATAGTTCTTCTGAATATCCTCCAGCTTTAAAGGATAAAGAAATTTAATCGCATGTCAAATAAATAACCATAAATCTCTTTAAAACCACTTCTGTTCTAAGTGTTTGGACATGACTCTACCTTTTCTAAGAATAAAAAAATGTATTGAAGCGCAAGAAATTTAAAATATCCATATCCTATGGAAGAGACCACAGGAAGGAACTATTCAAATAAACGTTTCCTAAAGGAAAAGCCCTAGTTAGGGATCCAATTATGTAATATTATATTTGAAAGAAAATTCACTGTAACAAAGAGGCTTAAGTGGTTCTTTGAAGTTGGATGTGATAGATTAGCCGAATTTAGCTTTCCAAGGCAATTTTGAATAAAATTCCTGTTATTCTCAGTGGGCATCTTTGTGCTTTCTTTTCCTTCTCAGTCAGAGGTGAAATATGAGTGTCGCGAGTGAGTAAAACTCGGTGTGGATGGCTGTTCCATACAAGTGTGTGTGTTACAGCACTGCCATTGGGTGTCTAAAACCTGAGTTTCCTACGTGACACCTTGTCAGATACGTAGGATGATGTTAAATTATCTCAAAAATACTGAAGTCAGTAACACAGAAGTGACTTCAGAAATATGGTCAAACTGTTTCTCACTAAGATGAAGTAATTAAGGGAACTTTTGATTTATCAATTCCATAAGGCCTGCCTGTCTTAGAATCAAAAGAAGGAACAGAGCTCGTGGATCCTCTTCACCATGGTGCTGACGTTCTGTGAGCCTGTGTGCCTCTCTGATGGGACCTTTCTGACCTCAGGATTTCAGACTTGCAATGGTTGAAATGCTGCATTTGTTACATATATTTTTTCCTTCCAGTGAGCTGAAATTTGCCTCTGGGCAGGACGCTTTGATTTGCCCTCTAGAGCAAAGAAGAGCAAAATATTCTTCTGCTCTCAGTGTCAGTCCTTTTAAATACTTTGAAAGCAGCTCATCTGGCTTCTTCCGGTCCTCCATTTCCCTAGTGCCATCAGTATGAGATAGCTTCTGGGTCCTTCTTCATGGTTCCCCTTCGGAGTCGTCTCTCCTTTGTCGATGTCCCTGTTTCACTGTGGCACTCAATGAACTGTACATTTCACAACACAATAAATGTGGCTGGACGGAACAATTTTGCAGACCTTTGAACGCTTGTGTTTTTTTTTTTAAATTAGGCTAAGTGACAGATAATTGTGTCATTATAAACATTTTACAATGTACTGACATATCAGTAAGTTTTCAGTAATGTTAGGTGAAGATTTGCATCGTATCTGCAAATTAAATCTATTCTACATTCACTTTATGCAAAGAGTTGTTAAAAAACCATAAAAATTGTTTAATTTATTTAATATTGTTATAAAACAAAAAAAAATTTAAATAACCTTTTCTTCAGCTTTTTAATCAGATATAATTTCTAATGCCTTGTGTAATGAACAACTAATAATTATTAATCTATGTTTTCCCTAATTCAATATCTGCCTTCGTATTTTATTTTTACTGGTATCATAAATTAGGGGATTTTTCTAAGGATGGAACACTACTATAAACACTATGAAAGTGAAGTTTTCTCAACACAACATTTAAAATAATACCATATAGGTATAGAGTTTTATTCCTGTGAAATTTATTACTGAATACTGCTCTTAAGATTATCAATAAATACACAAAGGATTCTTCTGAATGGATTTATTGTGTTTGTCAGTAAATTAAGTCTACTGACTTTTCTTAAAAACGAAAGTAAATAATTTTATTCATGTTTTTCAGTCAGAAGTGAAATTGTTTAATTGTTTTATGTGTAAAATTTGTTAAGATGTTAAACTATAGTAGTGCTTAACGTAATTCTTTTTACCACTGACCAAAAATATATCTTAGTGATTGTCATGTTGCTACTAATCTTATGCTTTCAGATGAATGCACTTAATATTCTTACTGGCAAGGGGAAATCTTACATGAAATATAGGTGGCTCGGTATGTACTGGAGTGGTTTATGTTGAATTACCACTTGGTTCTGTTTTGTGGGTTCTCTTAATTCAGTTGCACCAGTGCCATCCAAGCAAAGAAGCATTCAGATTTAAAGTATCCATATTTGTTTGTAATACCTTTACTTAAAATATGTAGAGATGTGTTTATAGAGTTACTGAAGCATATGGAGTTAGGAATAAAGATGACTAATATACTTTTATTATATTGGATTCAGAGTCTGTCTGTGGAAATATTTAAAACTTCATGCATAGTATTTCTGGACCATTATCATCTTGTCAGTGCTAGAGAATTCAATTTTTGTAAGATAAATCTTGCTATAGATTAACCTGTCAACAAGACATAAAATAGAGAGGAAGCCATGATTTTACAAAATAATTTACATTTTAAAGTAATTTAATTCTATCCTCCAACTTAAAGAAAGACATACCCTTAGGACAGGATATAATGAAGAATATGTTATAGTCGGTAAGATTACAAGATTATATTATAAAATATATAAATAAATATTCTGTTATGGCTTCAAAGCCTACGGCGGATACGAAGAGGACATAGATGGCGGTGCACAGAGGAAATCTTTGAGATTTCCTTTCCGATCTCAGTTCTGCCACTATTAGCAGGTTGGGGTTAGATGGGGCTCAGCCTGTCTTGGCTGCAGTTTCTTCATCCCTGAAAAGCAGGAGCTGAACTTCAGTCATCTCTCATGGGCTTTCCAGTTCTAAAATTCTGTCATTTAGGGAAGGAGCCATGATGAGCTTACAAATGATTTCCATCTGTTAATATACTGGTTTGGCTCTTCAATTCAAATTATGTTTCTAAAGTTATTTGGAAACTTTAAAAGAACTTTCCTCTCCATTTTGAAATATTGTTGGTCTTTTCTGAGAAACAAATCAACTTCTAAGTCCAAAAACCATATCTCTAAAGCAATGGTTAATGTATGATCAGCCGGGATCTCCTGAGATGAGCTAGCCCAATGAGCTTCCTGGTTTTTATGTTTGTGATGATTTAACCTTCCTGTAAACAAATTCAGCAAGAGCTGTCCTTTAGGACCTGATTAAAATATGAGTGTTTTTTTTTTTTTTTTCAAAATAATTTTGCTAGGATTGTTTTTTAAAGGATTAACTCTAAAATTGTTTGATTGCAAATGATTATGCAACAATCCAGAAGAAAATCTGGTATTGATGGTGGTATTTTTCTTCCCCTCACGTTGTCTTGATACCGAATAATGGTTGGATTTAACCTTTTTCTTTCTCCATAGTTACACAACTTTTGAATAAGAGTTCCAGAAATGACAGTTCTGATCAGTATTATTCACAAATGATAAGAAGCATTTGTATAGGTACAGTGGGGGAAAGATACCTTACATGAAGAGAAAAGATACATAAAGGAAAAATACACAATTATGGAAACCTACAACTGTTTTTTTTTCTCTGTATACAAGCTAAAGATTTGATATAATTTCACTGAAAAATTTTAAAGTTAAATAACATTCCTTAGAATCAGGTATGTTCAGATAAACATACACATAATATACGGATTATTGAAATACAGTTGTGGGAATTGTCATGGCTTGCACTCAAATCTTTACTCTCCTCGGTTGGTGTAATAATCTTAACTTTAAAATAAATGTGTTTTTGTTTGACATTTATAAACTGTACGAACGATTATTAAAGTCTCATTTTATTAGCATGTGTTAAGAGGGGTTTCTTATTTTCTGACTAACATTTCAGTATTTTTAATTATGATAAACCATGTAACACAGACTCATAAATTTTGGGGCAGTGGAAATTATTTCCTTTGACTCTTTTTTCTGCATATCATCAATTTGCTTTTTACTCATGTTTCTTCTACTGTCGCTGTAAGCTTACTTGTTGTTTTTTCTTTCCTTTTCTTCATGCTGTCGTTTAGAGCCCTACAGAGAGACAAGTATGGGAGTAAAGCTAAACATTGCATATCAAATGTAATTTTTTTTAGTTCACTTTTATTGCATCACATATAGATGATGTAGTTATTAAAAACAGTTCATCTCACAATTTAAAAACTAAAGAGCCTATGAATCGACTTAAATAAATTTATGTTAATAGAGATTAGACGCTTTTGTTGTCTGATTCTTTTACTGTGTCACATGATCAACATAGTTTTTAAGTCTCATGTAATGTTTGTGTGAGTTAAATTGTTTTTAAATTAAGCATTTATTTTTGCTAAGTAATGCATAAACTTTTAATTTTTATTAGTACATTCCATCATACAATTGTATGTCCCATGCAGCATACCCACTTTATTTTACTATGGCTGTTTCCAACCTGTACCAAATGCATTGACAACAGAAATAATACGCACGTTTCAATGCATCGGTCACTCAACCATAACCATCCAGCATACCATAGCGCCCTCCACAGCAGCAATCACCCATCACATATGGCCCTTTAAAGAGCATTTACTTTTATTTTTCTTAACATTGTGGATTTGTCTACAAGATATCTTATAACATGAAAATAAATCGCTTCACCCTATGTCTGTGATGGCTGCTTTTTAATGAATATTTTATGCATTCCTGTTTTGGGGAACTGTTACTTGAGTAC